TCATCATGAGCACATCTGTTTTGGATGTATCACTCCTGAAATAATATTGGCAGGTTGAGTGTGCTTGGCTCTCAATGCTCAACAACTCTCCATTTATATTATTCCCGAACAATATGGTAATATCAGCATTCTCAGTCATCCTGTTTATAATATATGTTGCAACGTGTCATCAGTGACTGCATGGAAAGTGACACAAGAGGGGAATCTAATGGCTGGAAGAGTGGGCTAATTACGGGGGGAGTACATGCTTGTCGCAGGGGGCAACCCAGAGTGAAAAAAGAAAGTAGGAGGCATTTAAACAGTCTGATATCTGGAAGAGAACTGTGGAGCAGAGTGAACAGGGGAGCATACTGTATAATAACACAACTGCTGATCTTTTATTGTCTGAGGGCAGCTGGGTTAAGCAGCTCATTGAGTAGACATACCTTTTGTATCTCACCTCCAACAACATGAGTGTCGTTGTTGTACTCACTCTTGATAAAATAATAATGAATTTCATCATGAGCACATCTGTTTTGGATGTATCACTCCTGAAATAATATTGGCAGGTTGAGTGTGCTTGGCTCTCAATGCTCAACAACTCTCCATTTATATTATTCCCGAACAATATGGTAATATCAGCATTCTCAGTCATCCTGTTTATAATATATGTTGCAAAAAATATATTCCATCAAAATACACGGTTATTTTTAAATAGCCATCAATAGAGAAATGCTCAGGTAAGATAGTAATTACAGCATCTAGATAACCAGACAACCTTTGACCCCTTGTTCCAGAATTATATTTATTCTTTATCAACCTTATTTTGCAACACAGATGTAAGCTATTTTCTTTAAATGTGTGATACTTTCAATTCATTAGCCGCTGCCGTCGGATTTCTGTTTATTTTTAACAATTGCTGATAATTATTGTTGTTAATTGGTGGTTTATGCTTTTGTTGAAGTCATCAATTCAACTTTTTTTTTATAATCATGTTTAATTGCAGAATTATTGGTGAAACATCATTTTTAATTTGATTATGTCATTCGCAATGCCTCATGGGATTGTAGTTCATTTCATAACTAAAGCTATTAAATACACAGTATTGTACCATGTATTTTTGTCTGATTTTCATATACTTTTTACTTTCAATAAAAGTTTTTAATGTTATGATTCACCTCGTAGTTGGTTGGCTTAATTCATGGCTTATAACACTTTTTTTTAAATCCCTATGTAAACAATGAATGGAAAAAATACTTCCAGAACCAACGCAGTTGAAAAAGTAGGTAGGCACTAAGGCAAACTATATGTAAATAACAAGAATAACAAAATGCAGTAAACTGTACAGTAAATCTATTTACGCTGCAAACCAGTATGTTTTTAATTTTTATCATAAATTAAAATAATATGATAGCAAATACAAGTTTGCAATATAAAGCAGCATAACAGACTGTTTTTGTACAGGTAAAATAACTGGAAGTTAAAAGTTAACTGGAAGTCACTGAACTTTAAATTACCCTTGAAGCCTCGTACATTCAAGTTACAAATGGCTACAACAACTCTTACGTTAAAAATAAGGTGAATAATATGAAGTCATGTTAATTTATCTTGATTTTGGTATCTATACATTACAATTAGTAGTATCCATCTGCATCCTGTGGTTACTTCATATTCAAAGGCATCAAATAAGACATTTACTGTATGCATTTTTGTATCATACTGTATGATGTCATATCTTTTCATTTCAAAAGAGCATCAGCCTTCATCTCATCAGGCTTTTCCAGCGATTTGAAAGCTTAGTAAATCCACCTTTGAAGCTGATTAAGTTGGGATGTTCCCTCTGACCAGATAACAGCATTTATGTGGCTGAGTGTTACCCTATTTACCAGCTCTGACTGTCTGTGACCCACTATACAAGGTATTTTACAGTTTTATGTCAGTGCAACTTAAAGAGATTTAAATAAAATATGTATATATCTATTCAGAGGATGTTATATATAGATTTATATCCAGTGTAAATTAATTTATTTGAGGATTATTGTGGAGTTTTAATACAATTTAAAATAACTGTTTTCTATTTGAATATATATTTAAAATGTAATTTATTCATTATATATATATATATAATCGATGAGATACACTGTAAACATGATCATAATTGTAACAGTAAAACTGTAAAAATACTAAAACGGTAAAAGCCTGTTAATTAGTTCAGAGTAATAAAGTACTCAATATGGTGGAAAAACTGTAATAGATCATAATAAATATTATAATGTAATAGTTGTAATGAGACATTACATGGAATTTTACAGTAAATACTGTTAATGTACAGTTTTTGGAAGGGACAAAGAACAAGTCATCTTATGATTTACTGTGAAAAACCGTAAATTGACATACTCAGAATTCTATATGTGACACTTCACATTCAATGATTTTTCATTGAAATAATAACTATTGTTTATTGCATTATTTTAGTGTCATTTGTGTTACCATGTTGTTTTGTATTTGTGTGCACAATTTAAAATAACTGTTTTCTATTTGAATATATATTTAAAATGTAATTTATTCATGTGATGGCGAAGCTGAATTTCAGCAGTCATTACTACAGTATCACATGATCCTTCGCAAATCATTCTGATATGCTGATTTGGTGGTCAAGAAACATTTTTTATTATTATCAACATTGTGCTGCAAAAACTATTAGCAAAAAAGCAAATACTTAAGAGTTTAGAATTGAATCATTATTGCAGTTCATATGTTTCTGGCATGTTTTTGACCCCAACTGATGCAGTGTGTAGCTTTTTATTTCTCAAACAACCATGTGGGAAGGCGTAACCATGTCCATATTCCAGAAAGACAATACCAAGATTCACCAGACTCAAACTGTGAAAGACTGGCCACCACAGAGTCCTGAACTTTACCGCACTGAAAGTCTTTGAGATGTGTCGGAGTCGACTTTACACTGGCTTTCTAAAAACTTTGCACACTCTAATATTTCATTGGACCGCATTTTGTTTTGATAGCATTGTGCTTTCATTGTGGCATTGTTTCAACAACATTATGCAACATCACAACATTTATTTCCATCAAGAATTGCATTATTTTTTTGGCTGAGATCTTGTATTGACAATGAGAGAGTCAAGCCTCTCTGTAAAGTCGACTTCAGCACGTTAAAGACTTTCAGTAGAGTTAAGGTCAGGAAATTGTGTTGGCCAATTCATACATGAAATTCATGCTCTCTGAACCACTATTCCACATTTGGCTCCAATGAATCTTGACATTGTCATCCTGAAATGGACATGGGTATGTCTTCCAACATGGTAGTTTAAGAAATTAAAAGCTATACTGCATCAGGGTTAAAAGAATTGTTGCAACATAAAACATGCCAGAAACATATTACTCACTGCAATAATGATCCAATCCTAAACTCTTTACTATTTGCTTATTTAAATCCAGATGACAACTTTTTTTTTGGCCAGGCAGTGTACATTGTGTAATGCATGACTGATCATTATACACTGAAGAACCCGGAAGTGTGTTTGCTTGTTGTGTAAACTCATTTTAATGTAATCTAGTGTATATAAGAATAAAAATTTAATTCTGATAATGGTGATGAAAGTGTTGCACTGTAAGGCAACTTGCACTAACCGGAAAAAAGGACGTCTAAATAGGTAATGCAGAGCATATTGTGTATGCTCTGCATATGTCTGAACTGCATGTGCGGGCTTTATCCTGATACAGTGGTCCAGCAACTCAGCACATCTTTACTGCTTGCCTATTTTCTGATGATCATTCTTAGATTTCGTGGTCATTGATTTCAATCATTGATTTGTTTTGTTTT